CTACACCACAGCCGCCCCAAGTGAGAGCAGCACAAGGTTGTTGGAAGTGTTGAGCAGAGGTGAACAGGTCATCGGGAGCACCGGGACATTTCACGCTCAGTGATCGAAGAGCGGGCAGGACCAAACTCTTGGTTTGGGTTGCGCTTGATTTTTAAGTACCGCCACCATTTTTATTTCATCCGCCATTAAACAGAGACCGGCAGAGGAAAACAACAGAGGAGCTTCCTGACAGTCCGAACACGTCTGACCTAAAGAGCACAAGCAGCACGCTTGAAGTGTTGGATGCGTTTTGGATGCTTAAAACGTAGCTTGAATACCTTTTATTTATTTAACTCCATCCTCTTTTGCTTATTTGATTTAAACTTATTTGCCTTCCATGGACATCCATCACACAATTTTTCTAGCGGGGAAATGACATCAATAGAAACACGTGGAGCTGGATTTTAATTTGTGCATTAAGACAAAACAGTCTTGTTGTTTTCAACAGTTTTCACCTTAAAGAAATTAGTTAAAAAACTGATGTTACAATACAAAGAGTTGGATGTTGTCATGTTAGATTTTATATATTGAGAAAAAAATATGTTAAATWAAAAAAAATCAGTTTATTATTAAAAAAMCAACACACACAACGTACCGAAAATTGGTACCGYTGAGTACTGATACTGATTCCCAGGTACCGGATATTGGTACCAAATGGATGCACATGTCAAAGGTACCCATCCCTAAATGGGGAGAAGACAGACAAACATRTTTCTTTCTTTTTCTGAGGCTGTCTGTCATGGGCTGTGAAGAGAGAGACAGAAAGGTGCTGTAAAATAATGTTTGTTAGCAATTGAGCGGTTAAGACTTCACCAGCATAACTAGCCTAATGAGGATGTTAGCCACTTTTATGCATGAATTTCCCTCTCAGTAGAAAATGTGGTTAACACACACATCAGTGTGCTGCAGGGCAGCTGTGTAGCTTACCATCATCAGTGTGTGAATGTGTGAAGTGCTTTGGGGTCCACATGGACTTGATAAGGAGCTATATAAGTTCAAGCCATTCACCATTTATGAAGAAAAAAATGCTGTCAAATACCKTGACATTGTTAGAATTACTGAGATATAAARATTTGCTCACACCRTGTATCATTACTGACTGATTTTTCATGATAGATCAATTCTTTTTRTTTCTGCCYRCAGGGCATCAGAGGGGAAGACGGTGGAAGTCCCCTAYAAGGGTCCGGTGGACGAAACGATACGGGACATCCTGGGAGGGGTCCGCTCCACCTGCACCTAYGTCGGGGCGGGCAAGCTGAAGGAGCTGAGCCGCCGCACGACTTTCATCCGAGTCACCCAGCAGCTCAACACCGTCTTCGGCAACGACAGCTGAGCATCTACCTCCTGCCTCTGACAGAATGTCTGCCACGCTGCCTGTCTGTGTTGATCACATGATCCACGTCTTTACGCCTAAATACTCCGTTTTATTCCCGGTTTCAGTCCCAGTTCACAGTATTAGAAACATTGTTCAGAAACACATTTCTTTTAGACTTGATACAAATCCAGAAAGTGTTCCAATGAGTTAAAGCTAGATCAAACTTTGATTGTCTGCAGTTTTATTATCATTCCTAAGAAAAAAAATGCATTTGTTGTTTCTTTTATTTATGCCAGTTTGGGGCAGTTTATGAACGGTAAAAATGCAAGTCATCTGTGAGCAAAATCTCCCTTTAACCYTTTGCCCCAACCATCTTTATAAATTTATAGCAAACGTCTTCAGTTATTTATAAATCGTAAATATTTTATGTAATTGTGTTAGAAAATTTGAAGTAATTTTAAAAATATCTTATCATTCCATCACAC